ATCTGGTCCAAGTTTGAAAAAACAGCTTTGTTAACTACAAAGGATATCTTTGTCATTTGGTGAAAATTGGCTCTCTCCGTGAGATATTTACTCTGGTAATATCATTAGCAATACCATTATATGTAAAGATATTTTTCCCTCCTAGAAATTGATTTCCTTTCCTCTTTTTTTTTTTTGAGAAAAGAAATAAAGAAAAGAAACCATTAATACATATATTATACCAAATTAGGAAGAATTGATTGGGGAGTTAACTATTATTTAGTGAAATTACAAGCATCCTGCGATAGTAAAATTATCTAACAAATTACAACTAACTCAAATATGGTAGAATAGAACTACACATAATTTGGGAGATTTGAATCTAAAACCTCCAACTCCTGCATCCTCAATCTTGATTGTATTTCCACTAAAAACTTGGCTTTTAATTACTTAACAGAAATTGTAGGCACAAATACTTCTTATCAATCATCATTAATTGCTGTTTCTCCCTTTAAAAATGGGAATAGATTAAACAGTTCCTTACCATTATGACGTGCACGATTTGACGTGCAGAATACTTCTGTGAGTGACACATAAGGACAGATATTTGGAGAAAGTTTTTAACAAAAAAAAATGATCATTATTAACTAAATTATTGAAAATCGTCCAGCACGAATTGCTTTACAAAATATGGTGTCCATAAGATCAGATGCTTTGCATGAAAAACTAATTCATGCGTAACCTTATTTGCGTCTCTAGGAATCCATTTTACTTCAAGGATATTAGATTCCACCGGAGATAGACAAACTTCCTCGGCAATGGAACTGCTTTCAGATAGCACATCTTACACATCTTGCAAGATATTAATAATCGATATTGTATTACCCTCTGGGGTATAGTTTGGAATCTGCAAGATCTTAACCAAGTCAGATGCTTCGCGAGCTGCAATTGCTTCTGCGACCTCTGCTGTAACTAAACCATCATAACTTTTAGATAAGCAAACGACAAATTGACCTCTTGATATCATGAAATATTTAGTGAAAGTTGATATCATGAAATATATAATAATTGGAAGATTTATTTCTCAAAGCAATTTCCTTCTTTGTTATGAAAATAGCACTTTGGTACTGGAGAAATTAATGGTACGTCATTGTTTGTTGCGATGTGTGACTTTGAAGAGGGCATCAGTGTACCTTCACCGATTTGCATCATCCTATTCCCAGAATATCTTTAAACTAAAGGAAGAAAAAGTAAGTAGATATTTTCCACAAATTGTTTCCAATCAACGAAATTTTCAGCAAAAACGAAAAACAGGGATAATTGCTGCCTTTGATTTGTACCCACGACTCTGAATTGTTTAAATTTGGTCCCTCCGTAAATTTTACTTTTGCATAATTAACTCTTATAAACAATTTCGAATTAATCAAAAATCTGATTTTTTTCGAGCAAAGGTAATTTCTCTTGAGTTTATAAACCTATGAGAAATAGGTCTGGTGGCCACATTTTCACTGGAGAACAATTGTCACCTAGTAAACATCTCAAAAGCAAAGATAAAATCGCTAGATTCGAATTGCCGGAAGAAAATAAATCATGAACAACAATATACCATAATTATTGGTGCAGAAAACGATAGACCATTATATTCTATTCCCTAGTTGAATTTCAGCTGCTATTGTTCCCTATGAGTTTCATATTTAGTCCAAAAAAAGAATTCTATGATTCGTGTTTTGGTCCTTTTGGATTGGTTGAAATTCAAACAATATGATCCAAATGTAATCAAAATGAAGTTGCATGGGCTAGAATAGAGGTCTTAGAGTTTTTTCCACTATCTGTTTGAAATTCGAATCTTGCACCCAGAAATTGGAGGTGGGAATTGTGTATAGAAGGGTGCGAGGACTAGAAAAAAATATTGCACAAAAGATCCTTGTATATATGACTTTTAGAAGTTAAAAAAGCTAATTGATGATTTTTTTAATATCGTATTCTATTACAAGGACAGGTCTTCGGGAAGGGAAAATCCGATTCTATTACAAGTAGGAGTGTTCGAAAAGAATTGAAAAAGCTGATAACCGAAAAATTGAATTGGTTCAAACCGAAAAATAGGATAACCAACCCGTAATTTTCAAAATAGTTAGGTTACTCGAACCTATTTGAAAAATTATATTAGGGTATGGTATTTAATTTTTAAAAATCACGGTTACCTGAAACTTCCCACATATATGCAAGGTTGGTTAAGATAACTAGTATCCAAACCTCAACCCATAATTATTTAGTCATTTACTAATAATTTAAGTTACAAGCCCATTCCATTATACATTTTATTTTTCATAACTTATAAACTTGTATATTTAACCCTATCTTACATTCACTTTGTCAATTTCCTATCTCCGTTGCCACTAATTTCATGTATTCTACTACTCTATTTTTTCTCTTTCTTCAAAATTCCTTATCATTTCTCATAAATTCTATCCACTTCACCACTCTATTTATTTTGTTTTTAATTTTTAGAGATTACATTTTTTGTTGTAAAGCAACCGATTATCCTCAATAAAAAATGAATTAATAGATTTCAAGAAGTAGAAAAAATGAAAATAAATATTTGGAATATTTTATGTTTTAATTATCTATTATGTTTTGATTTTTTATTTTGTTGGTGGTTTTTTTAGAATTGTAGGATTAAACACTTTTATTAATTTGGACAATTATTGTATTGTTTTTTTTATTAATCTAATTTTTCTTCTACAAGTACGAGAGAATTAGATTACCCTGTATACCCGACGTTATTCTACGAAGGTTGGGGAATGGAATATTTTGTGGTTAAGTTAGCGATAAGGTTAGGGTATGGAATATTTTGTGGTTAAGTTCAGCGAAATTGCAAATGGAGTGGTTATCCGATCCATGAACACCCCTAATTATAAGGGAGAAGCCTCCTCCTGCACCTCTTATAACAACTTGGGTCTAAAAGCTGGACCAAGCAAATTTTGGACCGAAATCCATTGGTTCAAAATGGTTAACCAAAATTACTATGTAACTCAAGCACCTAAGTCCTTAAACCATTCTTTTCCTCTTTCTCTTACCGATGTGGGATATCTCACCTCTGCTGCATCTGTTTGTCGACCTATAGGTTAATCGGTTAACGGATAACCGATTGAATAGGGCTGAGCTATGGAATATATTGCTAAATTGCTACTTGTGCTTAGGGTCGAAATTGCAATCGAAATTGCAAATAAATTGGTTACCGGTCCATAAGCACCTCTAATAACAAGGGGGATTCCTCCTGCTGCTCCTATGCTACACCTAACTACTGAATTGCCAAGTTGCGATAAAATTTGCAATATTGACAGATGTAGAAATCTTCCCGTCCCACATTGAAAGATCGTAGGGCAGTTACTCTGGATTTAAAGTTCACAGGCGCCCGTCCTGTCACCAATTGGCTGAATGTGGTTGTTTCGTGGGTCCCCCTTAAATTGTCATTTGGGCCGTTCTTTGGTGAACTTCCTGAGCGTTAATCTAACTGTGTGTATGGGTTCTTGCCTTTGTTCGAGAAAAAAAAAATCACTTGTGTGGCGAGATTGTGCTCGAGAGGGGGATAGGGACTTCCTGTCCCACATCGAAAGATCGTGGAGTAGTTACTCTGGATTTAAGGTCCACAGGCGCCCGTTCTGTCACCAATTGACTGAATGTGGTTACTTTGTGGGTCTCCCCTAGATTGTCCTTTGAGCCATTCTTTGGTGAACTTTCTGAGTGTTAATCTAACTGTGTGTGTGGGTTCTTGCTTTTGTTCGAGGAAAAAAAAGACAGATGTAGAAATCAAAACCCACAGAGTTAAATGATGATGAATCTCAGATACTTGTACGCGTGTGGATGCTGCATAAAAGGACCCTGTACAGCATCTTCCGTGCACTAGACAAACTTGACTTAATGCCCTTTAAAATCTGATCATGGGCTGTTGACATCTGACTGAAGGCATTTGAATGCAATTGCATCTTCCAAGTCATTAAGGTTTTCTTTTCAACAGCTTTTAACCGTCAAATGAAACCCCGGTCAATGGTTTGGAAAAGACTGGAGCCAATTTTGTTGAACTATCAAACGCTGTCTACTACTCTACGTCTACTATCGCCCCACTGACAAACGCGTTCTTGAGGCTGTGGGCTAGAAAAGTTCTTCATCAGATCTTTTTATTGACATATAAAACCACCTGCTGCTACATCATGCATTAGGGGAAAACCTTCAACCTTGTTTGGATAACTATTTTTCAAAGAAAAATTCTTATGTTTTTTGTGAACACATTTTTTAATCACCTTTTTACCTCACATATATCAAATCGCTATAGTAATTTTTCTACAAAAAATTTAGAAAAATGCAATCCAAACTAGCGTTCAGCTTTCCCTTATTTCGCTATCTCTCTTTCTCTCTACACACACACACACATATATATATATTATATGTCTGCTAGTTTCCTAATGATTTAAAGAAGTTAATTGTCTTATTCTAATGAAGAAATTTTTTTTGTCTTATTTAATTATGTGAGGCCGATATTGAATTGTACCGGGCTCGGACAAGTTATAAAATGAACAAAATTAGTTGATGAATTTGGTTCGATAAGAGCTCAACGATCTGCATACCAACTACATAAACCAAACACAAACAGGACTTAATTTTTGTTAAAGTTTCAAATTCAACTCGAGTTTGGCTTTATTAACGCACTATTCAAATGTATAAGTGAAAAATAATTAAGATACTCAAGTTCGACTCAATATTGAATTAGGCTCAAGAGATAAACAAATCAAAATTTGAACACATGATCAAATTCACAAAAATTACAAAATAAAGTGTGAACAATATAGAATTCGATTTGATTAGGCTCATTTTACACCTCTAATCATGTACACACAGTTTCTTCTTGTAATGTTTTTAGTTACCTTTACTGGAGTATATAGAAACAGAACAGCATATAACTAACATACTTATCGGACAAATTATATATATATATATAAAAGAGCCAAAAATTACCATTTCACTAAAAAAAAAAAACATCAATTCTTTATAGGTCAGTTTCTTCGACCCAACGTATTATGACGGCATTAACATTGCTTTCTCTGTCGGTCTCGACATTAACAGCAAAAAAGAAGAAGAAGAAGAAGAAGAAGAAAGCAACCAAAGAACACATTGGTTCATTAAATCTTAGTGCAATGAAATTCATCTCAAAATCACAATAATTTATGTACGCACGCATAGAATGAAATGATAAGATTTCTATAGCGGTAGGAAGAAACAATTACTAATTAATTTTCTGATCATCAAGAACTGGAAACCATCATAGTCCTGAACTCCTCAAAATCAAGCAATCCATCCGAGTTTGTATCAAAAATGTTAATCATGCTCTTACAATCCCGGCCTTCACGCTCATCCCACAATCCAAATCTTGACAAAACCTTCTGCAATTCCTCACAAGAGATGAATCCATCTCCATTTAAGTCAAACACCTTGAAAGCTTCAGCTAGATCTCCATCAAAGCTGTTTGTTTGATTGCTTCTGCCAATGTTGCTCTTGACAACAATATCATAGAAAATGAAAAACTCAATTGAATCAAGACTTGTTGTTGGTCCAACCAGTCTTTGCAGCTCCTCAAGGGTAGTGTGGAATCCAATTCTCTCTAATAGCCACTTGACTTGATCAATGCTTATTAGCCCATCGCCATTTTTATCCAGTTTTGTGAAAATCTTGTGGAGGTCATTGGCACTCAGGGATGACATGAAATCAGGAGTTATAGCAGGCGAAAAATGTTTGTGGATATTTGGATTTACAACTTTCTGCTGCCAAGAGGAATGCTTCAAATATTCTTGTTGCTCAAGATGATGAATGCTTGAATGTCCAAACGGTATTTATCTGTAGTCTAAGGTTGAACATTGAAGCCAAGTCCAAGCGTGCGTTCTAGGCCATTAAAGTAGCTACAATTGTATGAAAGACAGATTCAAGCGTCGAGAAATTGAGGGTCAGGTGCCAGTGAAATTGAAAGGAAGGTCTGTAACGCTGAAAAGAAAGTGCAAAGAAATGAGAAGGAAATTTACCATCCTAGATAGGAGATAAAAAGAAAAGATATTGTTGACAATTATTTTGGCCTTTTTGTCAACAAAAGGAGGAACACGTCCTTGATTTCAAACAATCTTTTCCCACTCTTTATTTAGAAGCTGATCAGCTAACCAATGAGAGACTCATTTCCATTAATCAAACAAAAAATGGGGACTCGTTAACATATGAAGATATATTGACTAAAGATGTAAAATAGCTGGACTGAAGTCCTTTTACTCTCAAGCCCTCAAATGAAAAGTTGTATAGCATATCTTAGCAATTTAATTAATTGCATTGGGTTATATTATAGGTCCGATGAAAAACGTAGGAGCAAGAGATGGTTGTAGTTATGCTTTAAATGGACTCACTGTATTGATCATGTCATTATCAGTAAAACAATAAGAACTTAATTAACAAGAATTTGTGTGGAAGTTTCCACGTGTTTTAGAGCCATTTATCACCAGATTGGCAGCCAAACCATGACAACGAGATTAGTTAAATGTGTGATTGATTACCTCAAACTTGGACGACTTGTGATACACGTTGATGGATACAAGAAACAACTCACCAAGTACCCCTTGGCCTTGGTAATATTAAGGCAAAGGTCGTTCGCCACGTTCCTCAGGCACTACTGCTCTAGGGTCGTAAACCAATTGAATCCTAATGCCACAAGCTAGGCTGCATTTGACTTTTTAATATCGAGCTAGAATTCATCAATTTAAGTTCATCTAACTCCATTTGATGTTGCCCATGAAGACCATAAAAAACAAAAATCGATTTGATGTTGTATTGGCAAGGCTCGACGTCAGCTTGAAAGCTTGGTTTAGTTCTTGACATATATAGATCTGACTTTGGTTTAATTCTTAACATATATAGATCTGACTTATAAATCCAAAATGACCTACATGTAACAAATGTTATGTCAACTACATGCTTCTTTTTATGTTAAATAAAATAAGAGTAAATCTTATATACACTAACAGTGTATACACTATATCACGGTTAAACGCACGATACATATACAAAATTTATGTTTCAAATTCAAATTCAAATTATGTGTTATGCATCAATAGGTGTAGATACATACACTGTTAACGTATAAAAGATTAATTTATAAAATAATCATATGCTTTCAATCCTAGTGCACGATCTTTCAAGATGATATGTATAAGTTCAAGTTTGATTTAATAAGTCATTAACAATATCTATTGATTAAATTTGATTAATACTCATTGGCATTTATTCACAGCTCAAGCGTTCATGCCTAAGTCTCATGCTCAAAGTTGTATCACTTAAATTTGGTGTAAGATACTCATCGAACTCTATATAATGAGATGAACAATTTTGCACATTTTCGGTTAAGAAGAACTGCAATGATAAGAGGCTCATATTCCTTTTAGGTAGTTCTACTATTTGCAGGATGTATGGTGAATTCCATCAAATATTTTCCAAGAAAGTGTAATCAAAGACTACTTGGCATTTATATATTCATTAGGTCAGTACCCATGTCATGCCTGGCTGTATCCAAGGACCATCCTGGATACGTCCCGCTTATAACTAATTGACGGGTTTACAACTTATCAGACGTCGATTTTGCCTTTTTTTTTTTAATGAGCCTATTGGAGAGGAGGGTATATTCCCCCCGAATTTTCTTCTTCTTGTTTCTTTTTTTTTTGTTTTAAACAAAGGGTCTCTATCTCATTTTTTTCATCTACAATTTAGAATTTGAAGTATTTGAATCTGACACGTAGTCAAGTTAACATCTTTTATGGATTCAACTACAATGGCTGAACCTCTACTTTCTTAGATGCCTAACTATAGTTTGGATTTTAGTAGCATAACATACACCATAACAACTTGGAAAGTTATAAGTTAGTACAAAACTCTCTCAATTATTATTTTTCTATTAGTTTAATTTCAGAAATTTATGTGGACGTTTAAAAAAAAAAAGTGGTAGAGATGCCTAATTTAAGGATAAGAAGAAGATAATCCACTAGCCCTTTGGCCCGGTGGTCACCACCAAAGACTTAAGTCTTGATGGTATGGGAGGTCAAGAGTTTAACCCTATATGTGGCGGCCTTAATTGAGCTTTTTCGATGGAGTATATACTCACATCGAGTCCCCCTTTCCCATCCCCTAGATTAGGTTAGATTAGGTTATAGAAATTCTATCGTTGCGACAAAAAAAAATTAAGGATAACAAGATGGAATAAAAATAGGCTTGCAAGAATTAGTCATTAAAGATGGTTCATAACTTTCAAAATCACATACTAGTGTCTTTGTAACTTTCCCATTTCCCTTACAATTATTTTTTGGTAAAATAATGATGTGCATTGAATTAAATAGAGCTAGTTACAATCATCAGAAGAAATCAAACTCCTCTAATTAATATCCTCTAAACAAGTAGCTTTAAGAAAATGGGGAATCTGTTGAACAAGACAAAATTCCTATCAAATTCTAGTTCCCTGTCAAATTGAATTTCCTTGCAGTTTACAGTTTCCTAGTTAAACAATAGCGTGAAAAGTCAACCTGGAGATTTACCAATGTATTCCATGGAAGCTACTTTTATCTTTCTATCTCTTGTGTCAGGTACCTTCAGCAGTGACACGATGACATGGTGGCTTCCATTAATGCACAATGGGAATACCTTTATGCTGGGCACCCCTTTGACCGCGCCTACTATAGGCACACGGTTCCGTTCGACACGTGTGCGGAAGATTGTCAATGTGGACCATGCGAGGCAAAATGCACACAGTTCCTACCATCAATGTTTTAAAAATCGGACCATTAATTAAACCGGTGAAGTGAAAGGGTTAAGTTTTAACCGGTCGGATCGGTTCAATCCCGATTCAATAATTTTTTTTTAAAATAATTTATATAAATATATATATGCACAAAATAAGACATGTAATGGACTAATTTAATACTTTATATGATGAAAAGTTTACTATTTTTTAATAATTTGGATTTTTAAAAATAAATTTTTTAAATTATAAGTTAAAACAAATAAATTTCATCTCAATTTCAATTATATCTAAATCCAACCCAAAAATATCACAATATTTTAAAATTATACAAAATTCACGTCTATGAGAATTTAGATATTGTGAACTTAAATTTTAATTTACGTTTTGGGATTTAGAGATTGCAATTTAAAAAAGAAAGTTTGGAATTCGAAGGAAGTCAAGAGAATCGAAAATAGAAATGTAAACTTGATAAGAAACAAAAAATGAGATAAAAGTGAGTGGTTGTAGCATTAAATAATTTGGGTTAAAGAAAAATAATTCTTTTTTAACTTTTTTCAATTTAATGGACAAAAACAAAATTAAAAGATGAAAGAAAATATCAATAAATTAAAAATAAAGAGGTTTGATTAAAAAGAGAGTGACAAAAGAAAAGAGGATAGAAAGAGAGAGAGAGAGAGAGAGAGAGAGAGAGAGAGAGAGTTGAAGATTAAAAAGAAAGAGCTGTAAAATGATGAGATTTTGTAAGAAAAATGAAAAAAAGAAATATGAGTGTTTGTTTTATATAAATAAGTTATGAAAAAAAATAATAGAATGTGATGGTGCAACGGTTAATACATTGGTCTTCTATTACAAAAGTTTTGAATTCGAATCTTGATAGTTGCATTTTGCAAAACTTAAAAAAAAAAAAAAAAAGGGGGAAAGTTAAAAACTGGAAACTATCGGTTCAATCTGGTTCGGCGGTTTTCACGGTTCGACCGTTTTTTGACCGATTTTTCTGACAAAGTCAACTATGACATAGAACCGGACCGGTGCCATGGCCGGTTTGCGGTTCAACCGGTCGAACCCGGCCGGTCCGGTCTGGTTTTCAAAACATTGCCTACCATTGCCTTAACTTGTATCTCTCTATATACATAAATTGTTTCACAATTAAAATTAAACAATATTTAAATGAAGGTCAAAAACAGGGTTAACAATTCATCTGAGTAACTTGCGAATTTGGATCGACCTACTTAGTTCACCCTTAACTCTACTGCTTTATGGTTGAGGCAGTAATTGATCTAAAAAAATTAAATAAAATACAAAAAAAATCAAATTTTTACAGCCGACGAAGAACATTTTTACCGACAACTTGTAAATGCAAATGGTTATTTGTGCGTATCAACCAAAATATTCGACTGCCAAAATAAATCAACAGTACGAATTCCAATGTAAGTTTTATAAATGTTTGTTTTTTCCTTTTTACCCTTTCACCCCTTCCAACACCTAATTGCTAAACATAACATTTAAGTTCCAAACCTGACAATAATAACGAAAACCCTATAACTCAAAATTTAGTGTAACATTACTTTTCATTATTTATTACAATTTAATAATGCAAATGAAGCTAAATAATAACACCCCAATAATGTATCACAATTACTATCAACCATATTTAAATTAAGTATACAATTTATCAAACCACAATATTACATTCTTTTGACTTTTAATTATTAGACAGCATAAAATGAAGTACAGGATATGTAATTAAGGTAAATATAGTACATACATTACAAATTTGTTGTCATGAGAAAAACTACCACATGTGCAAATCTATATGATTTGCACATATAACCACTAAACATGTTTAATGTAATTAAAAAAATTCATAAATAGTCCATTTATTGATTTTTATATATAAATCTCAATTACTAATCAGTTCCCTTCCATATACATTTCAATTAAGTGCGGCAAAATACAAACTTATTGCCGCACCATACCAAACTATCATCAAATATTTACATTTTATGACCTGTTGGACAAATGGTGATAAAAATGGCCTATTTATCACAATAATTAATGGTAAAAACTAATATAATTATCACGGTATGTTACTGTGACAGAAGAAAGTCGAGTACAAATTCTTTTATTACCACAAATGCCAATACCTCGGCATTAACGTTGTGAGAACCCGTAATTTGTTATTTTCTAGGTTTTAGGATTTT